TTAGAGACGCTGGGGAGGGGGGAGGTTTGCGGCTGTCCCACCTGCCAGCTGGGCTCCTGGGCATCCCGTCTGGGGTAATCACGCTCTGCTGTAACTGGAGGTCGTTTATCTCCTCCGATTTAGGTGCTTTCCCCATCTTAAAAGCTGTTACCAGGGTGTGTGCTGCCATAGGGGGAGAGTGAGTCTAGAAAACCTTAATGCATGACTTCTCAATGGAAAACTAGTGCTTGCACTGTAGTCCACAAAGTATTTTGGAGTTGTACCTTGCACGTATAGTCTGCAGAGTGGCTAGGGTGAAACCAACTGATGTCTCTCAAGTTACTTAAAGAGGCTTTCCGAGGATTCGTTTGTGTTGCTTCTGGATGGTAGCATCACCTGTAGAAAGAGAAAAAGATTAAAGGCTTTGTTGTTCTTTGTGTAGGTTCTCATCTGTCGAAATTACCGCGGCGATGTGGACATGTCAGAGGTGGAGCATTTTATGCCAATCCTTATGGAGAAGGAAGAAGAGGGGACGCTTTCTCCTATTCTAGCACACGGAGGAGTTCGTTTTATGTGGATTAAACATAACAACCTATATCGTATCCTTTATATTGCAAGTCATTTACATACGCTGATGTTAATTGCTGATATGTTATTTTCACAGTTTATATCTACATGCAAAGCTAGAGAATAGGTGAAGTTGTATAAGGAAGACTTTATTAAATAAAATGGCTTTATGGCTTAGATAGTGTAGTGTGCACTAGTAGCACAGTGCATAGGAAAGTATTTATATTAATTTTACTCTAATAAACTAAGTCTGAATCTTCTCGTCTAACGTGACGAGAGATACTGTTAACTAAATCTTAATGTTTTGGCCAACTGTAATTGCCATACCATAACTTTGAAAATGCACTTGGTAAAAAAATCTTTCGAATGGTAATTTTGAATGCATATTCCTGAACATCCTTTATCAGTTGTTGCAACTTCTAAGAAAAATGCTTGTGTATCACTGGTGTTTTCATTTCTGTATAAAGTAGTTCAGGTGAGTATGAAATTTTAAAACTAACTTCTGCCTATTTTCAATTAAATCTAAATCTGATCTAAATAAAAGTGCATAGAACTTTCACTCTTTTAAAAAGAGCACTGTGGTAATAGCACTTTTAATTTGTTTTTGGTTGTATTATAGAAATGTCTTTCTAATGGCTAATAATAGAACGGGTAGCTGAGTAGGCAAAGGATGTGACACAATGTTGTGAGTAGTCGCGTGAGACCTGAGAACACAGAGGAGGATTAGGAATTTGGTGCGTGCATAGTGTCATAAAATGCAGGTTTTATGTTTGGTTTATCTGTACTTGGCGTGAAAAATACTTTCACTGGAATAAGTATTTTTCATAATAGTCAGAGGTATGCCTAAGATGCTGTAGCTCCCTTTTAAATGAGGTGTGTTTTAGCAAGTATGCATTGTGAATATGCTGTTGTTCCTCAATTAATACCCTCCTCCTTCACTTCCTTTCTCTGACTGTTGTTTCAGGTTTTTTCTGAATATTTTAAGGAGCTGGAAGAAGAGAGCATTCGGGATAATTTTGTTATTATTTATGAGTTATTAGATGAACTTATGGATTTTGGTTATCCACAAACCACTGATAGTAAAATTTTACAAGAGTAAGTAACAGTCTGCCTCACTTTCAGTGACAGATTTCTTAGGTAGCTTTGAGTATTCTGCAACATACAAACCAATGTTTTGGCTTGATCTATTCGCTAAAAAATCAAATACTTCCTAAGATTTAGGTTTGTAGCATCAAACTTCTTTTATGTAAATCTGACGTTAAAGATGCTTCAAAAGCTGTAAAGTGTAATTTTCATGTTTTCTATCTCCATTATGTGTTTGTAAAGGTATATCACTCAGGAAGGTCACAAACTTGAAACTGGAGCTCCCCGTCCACCTGCCACTGTTACTAATGCTGTTTCATGGAGATCAGAAGGGATAAAATATAGGAAAAATGAGGTGTTCCTGGATGTTATAGAATCTGTTAACCTTCTGGTGGGTACCTTTTTCTTGAACTTTTACTGAGAGTTGTAGTAGTAAGTGTTATAAAGAGCTTACAGTAGCCTGCAAGGGTACAATAGAGAGTCAAACTAACTGTGG